CTATATTCCGGTCATCTTGTCATTGGTTGTGGTTTGCCGAGTACATAGCCTTTCCCTGATACAAACGTGCTCACTGTATCGTTCCCGTCCTGTGTCCAGGCCTTTCCCCTTTGCGTCTGTGCCCTGTAAGTGTCTCGACACCACCCTTTATCCTTTCTGATCCATGTTATGTTAGCAATGGTGGAGTGCAACCGCGGAAGAGGGACGTGACTGTTGGAAGGGAGAAGGGAAGTCGTGGCAAATCAACAAGTCAACATCTCCGGGAGCTTCTGACAACTCTAAGTGCCCGAAGGGAGTTGGCGCTTAAGGGTCCCCGCGGCTCGCAGACGCATTGACGAGACTCCGAGCACATTGCCTCACATACTGTGTGCAGGGATACGACAGAGTACTTCAGGCCAATCAATATATAACCTCCAATGCTCAGTGCATATCATACTATCTCATACTCCAGCCCAAGGTAGTTCCCAAGACAGCCTGCTAAGCTCAAGACGCTTCAAGACACCTGTGTCAAGCCCAAGACAGCCCCTCAAGCCCAAGACGGCCGCCAAGAGCTGGCGGTTTTGCTGATGGAGGTGCACCATGGATCGCTCGCAAAATTGTACAGCAGATGATGCAGGTAGAGCAATCCAAAAGGCGTTTTCCTAAGAACAATTGTGCGCAGGGAGGCCCTCTTTTGGTCGAAGATAGAGCCGTAGTGGACATGGAGGACAAAGAGAGCGAAGTCGGGGTCTCGGTCTGCTCAGACTATAAGCGCCGGCGACTCCCGAACGCCACAAAGCCTCGGGCATCGGCATTGTGCTCGAGTCACGCTTTGCCTCAAGCTTTGGTTGTCGAGAGCAGCGCTCCAGGCACTCATGTACCAGGTCGTACGCACTAAAAGAACGTGGATTTTTTTTAAAATAAAAAAAAGGGAGCAGCGCTTCATTGCTGGTCTCCACTCGCCGCGACCCGTCAGTCGGCTGTGGGACAGGTCCAGCGCTTCCAAAACACAAGCATCGTGCCCATTTCCTATGTCGGGCTCACGCGTCGCTAATCATATGATTGGCCTTGCCCTCAAGCTCCCTGACGTGAGCACAATTTACGCTTGATCTTTCCGGTGTGCTCATAGTCACGCTAGGTTCATTCAACCTGTCTGCCCTTGGTCGATTCCCCGGTCTCTTCCTTCCGACACGTCGTCTTTGGTAATGTCGCTTGCACAATCTTCGACAGTCCGCTTAGCTCTCATGACAATTGGATGGAGCGTCCATGATTTCTCAACGTTGCAGCCTCCCCATGGCTTTTACTATGCTATCACGGCATCATGGTGCGTTGTACACGCGTCTGTTCTGTGTCCAGACGATCCCACATGATCTCCCCCACCTCAGAGAAACCCCGCCCTGAACTAGGCTTGGGAGGTCGCCTGAAAGATTCCAAACGCGAAGTGCAGAAGGTGTACAATCTAAATGACATCAAGGCCGAGGTGTGCGCCCACTCTGTATTGCCTTAACGCGTCACTCACCGTGATTTTAGTCCGTTGCCTCCCGCCTGCACGACATGTGGGTCAATATGCAGGCAATATCGGCTCGTCATGTCAGCACGGACGCGCTTTTCGACCTCTGCCGCGTTTGCTCTGGGCCACATGGAGAAGCGTCAGCAACCTACAATCCAACTGGACTGGGCTACGACAAGAGTGAGGAGACAGACGAGAGGAAAGTGGGTGAGTAAAGACCAGCTCGAGTCTGGCTTGTTATTGAGCAGTACAGGCTCCTTATATACATGTCAGACTCAATACCTAGATTATACTACGAATATATGGAGGTGTTTAGAAAGTGAAAGAATACTATGGAATCTGGGAGAACCATCTGGAGTATGTAATATTCATGACATTACCCCCCCCCCCTTTAGAATCGTGTCCTCACGATTATTTACCGGTAGAGCCAAAGCCTCCCATTCCACGTTGAGTTTCTGACAAGTTTGACACTTCCTTGATATCGCATGACGCAATGCGCTCCAGGATTACTTGAGCGATCCGATCACCAGCGTGTACCTGGAACAGTTGATTTGCGGTGTTGATCATTACCATGCGTACTTCTCTGGTGTAATTACGGTCGACAACTCCAGCACCAATATCAATTCCTTTTACCGCTAATCCACTTCGCGGTGCAATCCGCGCGTAAGTCCCGTGAGGGGCACGCATCGCGGTGCCGGTTCCGACAATTTTGCGACTTTGTGCCGGTATCTTAACGCTTTCAGCCGAATAAAGGTCGAGTCCAGCGGCTTCTTCTGACCCTTGTTTTGGGAGCAGTCCCCCCATCCATTGTACCAATAGAGTGGTATCACATGTGAGCATGTGAATGGGTCGTGTGAGTAGAGGGGGAATGCGAATAGTCATGGGCGCGGGTTTATCCAGACGTCTAGAATGGAATTCCTGGAGAAGTTCCTGACAATTGGTCAGGTTTGCTTGGGATTCCCAGGAACGGCGGTCACCGTGTGGACTGTTCTTCCATAGCACCTGATACTCTAGATTTCCATTTTGATCGCGACACAAATCAAGGATGTCTTCTACTTCCCATTCTTCCTTGCCATTTACGAGGTCTGGGATCATGGGTGCATGCTGTTGTGACGGGTAGACAGGTTCTACGAAAGGACTTAGAAGACTTTCATTGAAAACCAGGTGTTGTTTCCATTGACGGGGGAGTTCTAACTCATAGGCTGCGGCGCCGACTTTGCGTTTGACTTTGAATGG